AGTATAAATGCCAAGTATTTGTAGAAGGGGAGGGAGAGGGTGGGATGCTCACAATGAGCAGGAGCTTTCTGGCGAGTGGGGAAGCTGCCCTGCCCTCCTCTGCCACCGTCCCGAGTACTGGGACCGCTCCAGGCTTCGGGATCTGCCTAAACCCGGAGTCACTCCAGGACTTTACCTGGCAACTTCTCACAGCTGTAGTGAGGGGCCACAGTGCTGCCCTGAGCTGGGGCTGGGACCCCTGCGTGGGGGCTGCGTCACCCAAGCTCTGGGAGAGAAGATGGACCCGGAGAGGGCTCGGTCCCCTCTCGGGATGATGGTGTCTGACCTAAGACAAGCAGCGCTTACCCGTCTGCAGTTCATGGTCCCATGTGTCCTGAGCAGCCTTATTAAAATAACGATATTCCCAAGGAGGGGTTGTGGGAGCAAATCAGTCAGTTTTATTTTATTTTCCTCCTCTTCAGGGTACAAGATTTCCCTGGTGCAATAATTCCTTTAAAACCCAAAGGGGAAGAGCGCTGGGCTTCCCCTCCATGCCACAGGGCTGGCCGGTCCCAAACCTGCCCCTGCTGCCACCCTCCGGCTCCTTGCCGTGCCTCAGTTTCCCTGCCCTCTGCCCACCCCAGCCCCTTCCCCTCCCTACCTCGCAGGGATGTTACAAATTACCGTTTCTAAAGCACTTTGAAGGCCTCTTGGGGAAAGCACCGGAGACACGCGTGTGCTGCACGGAGCCAGGGGGATTTGTCCTTCCCGAAGCCCCGGTGGCATCCCCCGCCGTGGCTGGCACGCGGGACTCGCGTGCTCATCACCTGGGGAACTTTTTGCCCTTCTCTCCTGACAGTGTAACAACCCTCAAACTGAAATGTATATTTTTGCTAGAAGTACAAACCTCCAAGTGTTTTTAATAATATAAATAGTGTCTACAAACTGACTTGACTTTAAATAAATCTGAGCTAAATATTTAAGAAGTTTTTAGCCTCCAGCCTTTCTTTGTGGGATTTCTCTCGGCCTCTGCGGGGCTGCCCTTGGGAGGTTTTCCAGCACAGGCAATGGGATTTGCTGTGATTTCCAGGGATTTGCTGTGATTTCCAGGGATTTGCCATGATTCCCATGTCTCCGTGATTCCCAGCTCTCGGAGCTGCTGTGGTTTTCCTGCCTGCTTTTCCCATCAAACCTAAAAGCAGTGGAGCAGGTCATGAGCAGGGTCTGTCGTGGTTTATTTAGCCCAACAGGCAACTAAGCCGCACAGCCACTCGCTCACCTTCCCCCGCGGAACAGGGAAGAGAATTAAAGGGAAAAAGGGAAGGACACTCGTGGATTGGGATAAGAACAATTTAATAGTAACAATAATAATAATATATGAATATATATTGTCACGTTATGACACAAGCTCAGGTCAACAGAGGTCAGGGAGCGATGTGACCAATCTACCAGCTTCCCAAGAAAGACGAGACCCCTGTACCCAACCCCCTTGGCACCCCTGGGCAGCCCGCTGGGTCGGAGGGTGTTCGCCTGACCTATTCAGGGACCCCATGGGCAGCACAGTGGGCCAAATCCCTTATATTTTCTGTATCAATTATGAAGTTTCCGGAAACTTACATAAAATTTATTACATAGGCTTGTGACAGGATACAGATTCGAAGACCGTCGGTGATAGGGACTGACAGCGAAAACAGATTTGATTTGGAATAATATAAAACCAGAACTGGTCAGTGATAATACTAAATAGCTGCAAGGTGTTAGTAAGTAAATGCACATAACACAGAGCTCTCACCCAATAGGTGTCCCTAGTTGGGGGTGGGGGAGCCCTTCGACTGATCCCAGACGTTCCGATGGAAGTCTTCTCCCAACACCCCTTTCTCTTAAACCATTTTTATACTTTTAGATGAAGCTTGAGTGACTCTAGTCAAGCATATCTTCTCCAGGATTGGTAGCTTTTGGGATGGAGGTGTGTTGTGGTACTATAATGATATTATAATGAGCAAAGTTCACCCCAAAGGCCAGCCATTTGGCAACCTGCTAAATATTAACATGCCCAAGTGGCCTAGGTGAATGCTTGGCTAGGTTCTGTGGATACTAAAAAGCTAGAAGCAGAGAAATTTTCCAGCTACTGCAGCATCCTGTGAAAGTTCTTTTTCCCATGCAGGCTAGCTGAGAAACAGTTTGAGGTTTTTGTAAACTAAGACTTTATCTTGCACATGTAGCTTGTTATGCAGCCTTGTTTATGGCACACTGGGAAAGTTGTTTTGAAATGGGTCTCGTAGCATTTAGCCAATTGCTCTGGGAGGTGGATGGTCAAGGGACCAATAGCCCTGGCCATCCTTGTGAACAATGTAATATATATGTACGGATTCGTAATTAAAAAAGATCGTCGCCGCTGCTGCTCCTGCTGGTTGTTGTTGGTTGGAGTTGGCATTTTCTTCTGGACCTGAATTCTGTGTCGTTCTTCTCTCCGTCCCCGGCACGACAGCGACATTTGGTGACCCCGACGTGATACAACTGCAATTGAATTCAGAAGGTACGTGCACCCACCCCCCCGGGGCTCCAGGGACGAAACTGTAGACTGAAAAGATGGGGCAAAGCTCCGCGAAAGAAAACACGATGTTTTCGGCCTTCAGAAATGTGATAACTTTCATGGGATGCTGCAGTAGCTGGAAAATTTCTCTGCTTCTAGCTTTTTAGTATCCACAAGGTTCACCATTGTTGAGGCGAGGGCCGCGATCCGTCTTTCTTGACAGTTGCGCGGTTCCCTTTGCCGGCCATTCTTCTGTTCCGGAGAACAGGGACAAGCCGTGGTACCTTCGCACCACTCTGCTCCCCATTTCAAGGACACTGGATGTTCTGTTCGGCCAGGGCAGGCCCCGGGAGCAGCAGCTGCGCCTTGCCTCAGAGCTGCCTTCCATTTCCCCAATTTGGGTTGTTTTCCCACATATATATATAATGACAATAATATATACAAACAAGTGATGCGCAGTGTAATTGCTCACCACCCGGTGACCAACGCCTGTCCCGTCCTGGTAGATGATCCCAAAACAGATAAATCCCAACACTGCAATCCCGGACGAGCAAGAGGCCTGAAAAGAGAATGAGAGCCAGAGAGCACTTGGAGACTCCGAGAGCGAGAGTGCTCAGAACAGAGTGCTGGAAAAGCAAAAGCCCTTTTTTCCAGTCAGCTCTCCTCTATACACCAGGCATGATGCTGCAGGATATGGAATACTCCGTTGGCCAATTTGTCTCTCAATCCTAAATTTAAATTCAAATCCTAAGGGCAGTTGTGGACCCTTTGTCCCAGCTGCGCTCCCCCCAGCCCGTCGTGCTCCTGCACACTGGCCAAAACACAGGGAGCTGCAAAGTCCTTGATGTCTCTGTGCCAACTCCAAACATCAGCGCGTTATCAACGTTCTTCTCATTGATAATACGACTAAAACTAAAACACAGAGCTCTTCTAGC